ATGAGGCATTTGTCCACACACCCCTTGCTGCAGGCTCAGAGAATTATGTTTTGTGCTATGCAAGACAGATGCATAGCACAACCTGCTTTTACTCTTTACTTCTCCATCTTATTTTTTCTGGTGCAGTGGTGTTTGTCCAGCTTCCTAGCAGTTCAGTGCAACTCACTGAAAACAGCAGCCTTGGAAGCAGCAGACTTTTTTCCCCTGCATTAGTTTGCTGATGGTTCGTGAAGCTAACCCAGCTTTTAGGAGGCTGGAGAAGCAATAGACCAAACTAGAGGGAAGCAGCCAGATGGTCGAGGAAGGGGGGATGCAAGTCTTTGTAGGAGTAGCGAACAGGGAAGTTGGTGGTAAGATGCCATACTTTAAGGGGCTTCTCATTCTCCTCTTGCAACCTTCACCTCTCTTGGAAGTAAGGGAGAGGTTATAATAAAGGCATCTTCCCCAGAACATTTTATATTTATATAAAAGCAACATCGGAGCAATGATTTTCCCCAGAAGGGATTGATGACCTTGCTAATTGCAAGTATTACAATATTTTGTGCATAACAAGATACAAATGATCTTCTACTGGCCTTTGGGAAAAAAGTCACCTTCACATGTCTTCTGTGTACTAGAATTTAATCAGGATCAGGCATTTCTAGTCAAATGAATATATGTAGTATTTTACCAGCAACTGAATTAATTTCATTATTCAGCTTACAAAATCCATAAACCCATTTTTTTATTAATATTTGAATTTAATAATGGCCCTTCACAGAGAACATGCCAAGAGGAAAACTTTCTAAAGACTCGTGCAGAATGCATCGATCTTGCATTGCTTGAATAAAAACTATGCTGCCTGGCCCAAGTTGCTTGACCCTTATTTTGTTAAAATCCTAACAAACTAAAATTGCCAGTGCTAGAATAGACTGTAATGCTCCTTTACTTTTATTTAAATATTTTTAATTGCAGTTTATATTTTATGAATGTTTCAAATGAATTTAAAATCATGATGAGCTTTATTAAGATGCAATAAAACCTAAAGTACATTAATTAATAAATAGCTATATTTATAGCATCAAAGAGCAATTCCCCATTTCCTAGATGGAGGATGAGTTTTGAACTTGGTGCAGAATCAGTAGCAAAATACCTTTAATCCTTCATGTCAACTACAGCTTCATAAAATGGTACACTTCAATGTAATTGATTAAGGAGCTAAACTACAGTAATGGATAAATCACTAATATTTCTCATTTTTTCCAACTAGCATCAATTTCCTTTTCTCTGCTGAACAACCTCAAATGTACTTTTATTTCTAGTTTTTATTTTTCAGAGTTTTTTGGCATTCCTTGGCGGGAGGGTTCTACAGCACATGCAAATTTCCAAAAAGAACCCATATGGATGTCCTGGGTTCAGCAGTAGCAGTCATTTTTTCTCCTCCTTAGTAGCTGGTGCAGTGCTGTGGTTTTGACTTTCAGCCTGGGAACAGCGCTGATAACATCGATGGTTTTAGTTGCTGCTCAGTAACGTTTAGTCTGACCAAAGACTTTCTGAGCCTCATGCTTTGCCAGGGAGGAGGGGAAGCCAGGAGGAAGCAGAGACAGGACACCTGACCCAAACTGACCAAAGAGGTATTCCATACCATAGCACATCATGCCCAGGATGTAGAACTGTGGGCAGATACACAGAAGGCCTAGATCAATGCTCAGTCGGGCTGGGTATTGATGGGTGATGAGCAGTTGTATTCTCTTCCCTTGTTATTTCCCTTATCATTATTATTGTTGGTGGTAGCAGCAGTGGTTTGTGTTATACCTTTGTTACTGGACTGTTCTTATCTCAACCCGTGGGAGTTACATCCTTTCGATTCTCCTCCCTGGAGTGAGTGAGCAGGCTGCGTGGGTTACTGACTGCACTTAAACCACGACAACGAAGAATTCTAAAACAGTTCCAATATAGATAGATAGATTAAAAAAATACATAAATAAATCATGTACATTACACTCTATGGCATGTGCTAATGTTCAGAAAACATTCAAGAAAAATTTCTTTAGAAGAATTATACTTTTGAAAGCAGTGATTAGGAAACTGTGCTGGCATAGGTGACTGAATAGTGTAACCTGCTTGTTCTTTGTTCTGAAACACATTCATAACTTTCCCCTCAGCTGTTATAATAGAATATAGCACTAATCGAAACTTAATAATTGTCATGAATCTATCTTTGTGCTATTTATATATATATTGGAAAGATTATTGATTGCATGTTCTGGTTGGAAGATATTCTCTATCAATGCTCTAATATTTTATTTACTATTAAAAATATTAGATGATAGCTGCATCCAATTCATCAACTCAATCATATGCAAGCAGTGAGAACACTGCTGACATATACAAAGACCTCCAAAATAATTGCACAGCAGGAACTGCCAAAGTTTGAAGATATAAAGCAGTTTCCTAAGAGGTAGATCAAGAAAGTGCTTGCTACTATTCCAAATAAAAATTACTGAACAAAATGCCTAAAAACAGAAGGGGAAAACATTGCTATGCTCCTAGTTACTATCCATCAGTCCTACCAACCATAACAAATTGTAATCATTGAAGTAGTAAAAGTTTGAAGGAAGTTTAAAGAAAGATGAAATACATTCACTAATTATCTCCAACAGAAAGTGACTAAAAAGTTAATTTTATTATTTTTTTCAGGACATTGTCTTTTGCCTTGAAACAAAATGTTTGGTTGAAAATGAAAATTAAAGAAAGGGATGAATCTTGTAGTTCTCTTCCAGTTCACAAATAAAAATTATATAAGGAGGATCTATTAATCCTAAGTGTTTGAAAGACTTGGTCATCTCCTGGTTCTGTTAAACCATTAAGTACAGCCAGTTTTTCTTCCATATGACAGAGCAATATAAGCACCTGATATTGTTGTTGCTTTTGTTTAAGAAATGAAGAAGGGTTTCTGATTCAACAGAAAGGAAATCTGGTTTGCATGTAAGTGGATCCTAATTTCCAATCAAATGAGGTTTGCCACAACTTCCAAGATACATATTAGTTACTATGTAATGAAGAAGTACATTGTTTGCATTTTTCTATATTGAAAACACTCAGAAACCAATTTAAATGCTTATAACACTGTAAAAGTTGTTCAGCTTAAAGAAATTTTGTCTTTCGTATGTCAAAGTGAATCTTCAAATGTAAAGGTTAAATTTAACTGAAAGTCAAGATTCAAATGAGTTATAATGGGAAGGCCATTATACAGAACATTAATTGAAATGTAAATATGCAAAAAAGATTAAAAACAAATATATTGTTTAAGCTCCCCTGATCACTGATTTAAATAATGATTTATAATCAGTGAATTAAAACTGTTAGATTAAATTTCATTAACAAACAAGCATAGGGCAGACAAAGGCTGAGGTGTGTATGTGAGAACTTATTGCTAGACCAGATCTGAAAGTGAAACAAGAAGACTTTTAACCAAGAATCCAAATATTGTACTGTGTTGTGTAAATATTAGACATGATCCTCACATTATCTTTGAATAAAAATCTTGACTTTTATAGAACCATACAATGGTTTTGTTTGGAAGGGACATCTTCCACTAAATCAGGTTGCTCCAAGCCCTGTCCACCCTGGCCTTGAACACTGCCAGGCATGGGGCAGCCACAATGCCTTTGGGCAACCTGTGCCGGTGTCTCACCACCCTCACAGTAAAGAATTTATTCCTAATATCTAATCTAAATCTACAGAAGTTATCAAATAAGTTGAATAATTAGAAACTGGGTTTTTTTGGTGTTTTTTTTAATTTTTATTTCAAGTTGCAATATAATGATAACACCATAAACGGACAAATTATTCTTCTATTTGTGGATTAGCTAAAATGTCCGTCACAATCTCCTGGACTTCGCTGTCAGTAGGTTATTAAATGCTCCAGCATGCTGGAGATTAAACCAGTGACATCAGACACAGCCTTTCTCTAATTACACAAATAATGTAAGCAATAAAGCTCTGGATTACTCTCCTTCCTAAGAGTAAGCAATCTGCTGTTCTAATTCTGGCTTGCATTAAGATGTAATCAAATTATACACATGTTAGACATATCCAGGATAAATGCACAATTTCAGAGTCAAAATAATTTCTCACAATTGCATGTTCCACTCTTTTTTTTCAGAAAGACTCTCTCTCAGGAATGTTTGTTGCTCTTAAGCAAAAAAAAGATCAATTTTTAATTAATCATAAACCAGAAATAGCTATTTTATTACATGCAGGAGGGCTTTTTGTTCATACTCAAATGTATTCAAACTTGAAGCTAAATTCCTAGCCAGAGATACCAAGTCATCGTGTTGGCACGATATAGCAGAAAAGCATAATAATGGATTTTGACATGGGTTTTCATGAGGGTCACGCTGAATTCTCAGTGTCATCTTAGAAGGCTCTCATCTTCCATGTCTATCTGTAAAATGCATATGTCGAAGGCATAACCAGAGCCAATGACTCAAATAGAAACCATACCAAATCAAAGTAAAAATAAGCAGCAGCTATTATGGGCAGGGTGAGTAAATACTGAAACAAAGTACCATGAGAAGTGGTGGATGCTCCATCTTTTACTACTGGTAAATCATACCTGAATACATTGCTGGAAAATACATCTTACTAGTAATTGTTATTGAAGGGGTACCCATGTGAACCTTTCCGCCTGCCAACACAAGAAGGCATGTCAGTCCCTTCTTTACATGAAGTATACGTACTAAAGAAACAGTCAAGTACTGAGTGTCACTGAAGTGATCCTGCTGCTGGTTCTGCCCCTTTTTAAGTCAAATGAGTTTAACATCTGCTATTGCATTTCATCAGGCATTATGTGCATGTCTGTGTTCTTGGAAATGTACTACTGATTGATGATAATTTTGACAATGGTAAATATTAGTTTTAAATGTAGTAAATTAACATTTGTTTAGTAGATATTTAAAAGGACATCAAGTCTTTCTAAAAACAATATTTACTCTGCATTAAAGAAGAGGCTGTTGTTTTCGTTCCTGTGCAAAGCTTGTTTAAGATATTTAGATAAATATTCATTTCAATCCAGAACAGAGACACCAAAGCAAAACCTACTCGGGAAGGAGATGGTACTAGGGTTTTTTTGTATTCAGGCTTCATGTGCTGGAATCTTCATCTCCTACTATATTTAAAATTAATTAGCTCTCACATTAATCTTCAAGAAAGGAATTGGCATTGTAACATAGCACTCATGGCTCAAAAAGCCCTTTAGAAGTTACATTTCTTACCCCAAAGTAGAAGCAACTACTACACAGATTTGGGGGGAAAAGGTTGGGAAAAAATGCAATCAACATGTATACTTCCAATTTCCCCATTTACCTGAGGTCATTTAGATGGTCTGTCACTATCTGCCTCTGTTCCTTAAACTTTAGATCTATGAAATTACAACAGTCATAGGACCCATCTTCATAAAGCTCTTGCATATATATTAATACATAAAAGCTGAGCAGTATCACTATTATGATGCTCTTCAACAAACTCTTGAAAGGAACAAATGCTGGGCTATGTAAAGTCAAACAGCATTTAAGAAAAATTAAATGATCAATTTTTTTCTCATCCTTTCATCCCACAATCTTGGAAGAGTTCCAAAACTACCCTGAATGGTCCCAAGGTGCCTGGCACAAAACACAGTACTTGCAAAGCAGTTTGTTCTCTGACTGCCCATGAGAAAGTAACCCAGGTTTGTCACAAAAAAACGGCTCCTTTGCAGCACTTTCTTTATGTCTTGACTGTGAAAAGTTGAGGGCGCTTCACCTGTAAAGGGTTATCAAGTTTATTCACTTCAGCTTTCCCTGTGTTGTTTTCCTTTCCCAGGGGCTGTTGGCCTGAAAAGTGCCATTACCTGAAAAAGGATTTTTTTGCCCGAGGAAAAGATAGATCCTCCTGCCTGACTTCAGATTTGCAGGACTCCAAAGGGACTTTCCTGGCTTCATGTAATTCTTCTGAGGGCTGATTGGAGAACTCTTAAAGCTAGGAGAAAAGGACTTCAAGGATGAAACAGCCTAATGCCACAACAACTATATCACCACCAGCAATGATCCATCAGCCATATCTGCAATTATTTTGTGACCGTATAAGAAAAGGCTTTTTTAGGTTATAAATACTTATAAAGCATAAAAACATCCCAGTGAATTAAGTGTTTCAGAGCAACATTTTACTCCCGCACAGGATACTAAACTGTTTGGAATGAGCATTCTAATCCCAGGCCAAACACAACCTCCTTAAAAGCAGAATTGTGCATCCACAAAAAGTCCGGCGGAGCTTCAGATCAGAGTTCAGAGTTCTGAACTGCAAGAAGGCTGCTATAATTCTATTTAACCAGAGGGGGTAGCTTACTATAAAACATCACCACGGCTTAAATTTGATATATGACTTTTAAATTACAAAGTATCAAGTTCTTCCAAAGGAGGAATTCATGAGGCTTTCTTACAGAACACCTTGCAATGCTGTATTTCTCCCTGTTGCAGTAACTCCGGCTTCTCTCCTTGTGATGAGCCCCCTTCGCCTCAGCGCGACCCATTTTACCCTACAACCCCTCACTATCTGCATTCTCCAAGCCCAGTGCTGAGGCTGGTTCACAGCTTTGCTGTGCTGAATTGCTAAGCAGCATTCACGTGGTGACTGGCCAGCAGCAGTCTAAAAAGAGCAGGCAACCTGCAGGGTTTCTCCCAGCAATGGTTTCCCTTACCCAGGTGTAATATGCACTAAATATTACTGACTTAATAACAAAAGGTCTGTGTATCTGAGAAACATGATTAAGATTGGACAGGAGAATAAAACTTTGTTCTCATGGAGTGGAGACACACTGACACATGGGCAGAACAACTGAATAGCCCTTATTGCTTAAAGATTCTGTGTTAATGAAACCCACACAAGGAAATCTGTATTCACCACCTTACACTTTCAAAGGGAAGCTTAGCCAAGGACTGGTTTTATTTTTTTCCTAATTTGTTTTTGCCCATTTAAACTCTGTGTTGATGCATGGGAAAATAGGCAAAAATGACAAATACGAAAGACAGCTGCTATTTTGTTCAATAACTGAAGAATGACTTTGTACTGCTGATCCCACACACCAGATGGTATATTGCCATAACCAAAACTGGTGCCGACATAAATATTGTCCATACTTACAAATTTTAATCACTTTTCGACATAAGACACGTACACGTTCTTTTTTCTCTCGGAGGCTTTGCCATACAGCTTTGAAACAAGCAAATACTGCTAATCAAAACATTGCTCAAACACTCCCAATTAGTTTGTGTAACTGGGATAGGGACAAAACTAACTTTTCCTTTTTTTGTTACTGTGGGGTGATTTTACTTTTAAAAACTCTGTGATAAATTGCTGTGCTTTGTGATAGGCTTTGGGTGGATGTGAGGGCAAGTTGTAAAGCTGATTACCCTGAGAACCCTGAGTTCTACTAAGTTAGGTCCTCAGGCTGAGCGGAGTGACAATTAGGTGACTCTTTTACCTGGTGATGATACGCAGGGCCAGACTTAGCTAAATGAAAGCTTATTTTCCAGCAAGATCTCCTTCCCATTAAATTAGAAACACACTGACTGGGAGAAAGGAGGGAAGACAGAGGAAAAAGTGCACTTCTGGCTGTGGCAAAACCACAGGGAAAACAGAAGAGAGCTCTGCAAATGCAGACAGATACTGTGGTCTGCCCTCCACTTGATTATATACAACTAATGATCTCACAGAAAACAGCTGTCAGAAAGGTCACAAAAACCAGCCATCTACTGTCGATATCTACACTGAAATTAACAATTTGACCCAATGTTACCCAGCAGCATTGAGCGATTCAAAGGTTTTCTGCTCAGGTAAAACTTGACAATCATATCTGCCTGAGAAAGGGTATCTAAGTTTTCTCAGCTTGGGTAAGCTGAAGTGGGGCGTAAGAACAGGTTACTCAGGGACTCTGGAGTTAGGCAAGACCCTGAGAAACCTGATCTGACTTCAAAGTTGGCTCTGTATGGGGCAGGGAGGTTGGAACAGATGACCGCCAGCAGCTCCTTTCTACCTAAAGTATACCATAATTACCTGATATTTTGATAAATCTTGTGTTTCAGCAGTTTGATTCACACTAGTTGAGACATAATGCCAAGAAAAAAGCTTATTGCCTTTCCTTGTGCATGGTTATGATAGCCATCAGGTACACTATTGTCTACTATTTTTTCCATTATCAATTTGCTCTGACATCCACATCAAAGAACTCCTCTACTGTCACCATAAGTTCTCTCTTCTCCCAGCTGTCTGGGCCCCAGGAGCGGCCACTTTAAAAACAGAAGAGATGGACAACCAGTTCAGACGTCAGGACCAAGACCAATCACAACCCTCAGCAGCAATTATTTTTTCCCCTTGCTCCAGCCTAGCATAGGGCATTCCCACTGCAGAATATTTAGGTTATTTGGTAAAAAGCAAGTGGTCTGTTTATCATTATGCAAAACACAATATTTCGGAAGTTTGCAAATTGGTTACTTCCTCACAAATTCCTGCTAAACAAGGAGGTGCTAGAGCATTTCCACTAAAAACTCACCAGAAATGTTAACACAGGCAATAGTGGTTGTTCACTTTCTTTTCTGGATGCGTCTCAGAACATTTCAGAAATGTTTGGCACTTCCTAATCAAACATTAACTCAGGCTGATAGAGAGTGTGGGATACTTTTGCTCCAGCTGTGAAACTGTCACAAGGTTTCAAGCAAGCAAAACCAAGGACTTATAATGGAAAGTGTTCAATGACCTCAACCAATCATGGTGTAACAGCCCTTCCAAAATTAATCCCTTTGTTGGTGCTTAAGAATTGATACCACAGACTAACAAGACGGAGCATCAGTTTACATGAGAACATACTTGCTCTCTATTAACCACCATCCATGTACTGTCAGCCCAAACCAAACTGAAAGTCAAGAGCGGCTAAAATCAAATTTTGATGCCTTCACCTAAATACAGTCTCTGAATGGGAACAACAGGCTTGGCTCAGGTGACGTTAGCCATTACAGAAGCTTTGCCAAACATACCAAATCGTATTTCCTTCAAAAACAACTGAGCTATCCCTCCACAGCTATGACAGGGTTCAAAAGAATGTGGAAGAAGTAGATGACTGCTGGAAACTCACCACCAGAGGTTAATAAGCAAGGTTTGAAAACAGGCTGAGTACTGACTTTATCCTCACAGGTTCCTACCCAAAAGATATGTAGAAATACAAAAATTAAATCATCCTGCAGCTGCTGATGGCACTAACCAAACCAATGAATAAAGAGCATAGATGACCTGATAGATTCAGTAAAACTATTCATACATACTATCTGAGGACATGTTTTGATGTCTGGCTGGGTGCAAGCCACGGGTGACATCACAAAACTCACAAGCAGCAAAAGCATAAATGAAAATGTGCTGGTACTGACTATTTAAGATGGAGGAGGTACCAATGGCCAAAGACAAAAAAAAAAAAAAAAAAAACACAAAACCAAACAAAGTTGTTCCAATATAAGAAAAAAAAAAAAAAACAACAAAAAACTCAAAACTGAGTCTTAAAAATTAGTTCTATAGGTTAGGAAGATTCTCCTCTGCATTTCAATTGCAAAAAGAAAAAAATGGAACTACTACTAAAAACAGATTCTTTCTTGGCTCTTGATCTTGTCATTATCTCCACTCACACCAGCCTTCATGACATCCTACTGAATACAAACATGAATACAGAAATCAGCACTAGCAAATCCAGAAAGAGAGGCATTAATGGATTTATGTGAGGCCAAGAATAACCAGAGAAGATGCCCAAATTGCCATCCCCTCACAGCTTCCCCCAATGTGTACGATCATAATTACTGTAGCAATGCCAGAAAAACAGAGAGCTATATTTAAACTCCAAAGAAGGTATTTGGAGTTCAAAATGCTAATCATATTTATGTAGAAGGGAAGGAAACCTCATAGTAACATACACATGAATCTCATTGGCTTATTTGTGTTCATTAAAAGCAGATGCTCGCTGTAGCCAAAAGAACAGGAGCTTACAAGAGAAAAGCAGACTTGGCTGGTTAAAACACAGCAGTTATTTTACCTCACCATGTGTTGTTTTTCAAGCTTCTAGCCGTCAGATGGCTGCCAGAAAAACACGGTCAGCTGTGAGGGCACAGGGAGTTGATCAAATAGCAAAGGCTTTGTCTGATAAAAACTGATCTAGTTCTAAGAGCAAGAGAGCAAAACCCCTTCCACAGGTTAAAATGGCATTTCACTTCCACTGCTTGGAACGCAAGCTTCCTGTTTAAAGCATTTTACTTACTAATACAAATAAAACTTTACACTCATTTTTTTTTTCTGTTTCCTTGAACACAGTAGTTCACCCAATGATAAACTTACCAAATGTCAGGTGAAGGCAGATCTGACATCCCTCTCATATCAAAATTTGCTGCTTTACAAATCTGTTCACTTGGGTTACATACTGACATGAGTGATAGAGATCTGTGTGTCCTGGGGGAAAAAAAAAAAGTAACTTAGATACCATCCTGATCTTGGGCAGCCTCAGATTTTGCATTTTTAATTTGTGGTAGGTCTGAAAAGTCTTCTAGCCAAAAATATAGTCCAAGAAATGAAAAAGTAAGATCAGTTCAGGGAAGAGTCATAACGATGGGATAAGTTTACCTGAATGAATAATGAATGGAAGGACATCCATTCTGCCCTTCATTTTAAAGCTTTTCAAATTGAGGATGTCAGAAGACTCTAAAGAGACTCTAGAAGACTCCAATAAGACTCTCATTTACCAGAATTATCCTATACCTTTTAAACTTCAGTAATACCTACCAACATAACTGTTTAGTCTCTTATCAATTGGACCAGCAATAAATGAGGCTATACTGGCTCCTTCAGTACCTGCTGAAAACAATTATACCATATGTACATAACCATTAATGCAGCTGACTGTAGTCCTCCGCCCTTAAAGGCACAAATGGCAGAGACAACGCACAGGATCTCCCATTTTTCCTTCGGGGAGTGGACACCGTAATCCTATGCTCAGCTGTTCTGTTGCTAACATGGTGCCTCAAGCAAATGAGGCTTATGCAGATAGGCTGGCTGTCCCTGTAGCTGTCTGTCTCCCCAGGGACTTTGAGTTTCAGCCAGACTTACAGAGGAGGGGAAGTCTCAGACATAATGGTAGACTGACAAGCTTCATAAAAATAATCACCTGGGTAAAGGAGAAGCAACAACAAAACGCTCCGATTGTGGGAAAAACAAGAAGTGAATGTGAGCTTTCAAACAAGAGATTCCATCTGGACAGGACACCTAGCAGATGCTCCAATTATATTAAAATCTTCAGTTAGAGCTTGTAATCAAGTGCAAAACACAAAGGTTAAAAAAAAATGTTTTCTTATTTCAGGATTTAAAAGAACTAATTGCTTTTTCAGGACATTGAAATGAGAATAGAAATAAACTGGGAGGCAGAAAGGGTCAGTCTCTACTATATGCTTTTCCATGCTCCCAAACATTTCTGCTTTACTTAAGGTTACTACAGGCAATGACTGAAGCAATGGCTAGTGGAAGTTTCCAACTGCAGCAGGGTTTTTTTTGCATAAGATCAAAAGATGCTTCTCTATTTGCTGGGCAATAATTTTACAAAATACTCTTTCCATCTACTTTAAAATGGTCTCATGTACTAGAGTGGTCAAGTTTTGCCCAGCTAAACTTGAAGATCAAGGGACAAGTATTTTGAGATCATTCTGAGTATGTTAATTTTTCTCCGTCTTCCATTTTTCAAAACCCAAGCACTCAGATGCCATCCAGATACCATAGGAGTATTGATAATGAATCCTTACTAGCAGAGACCATAACCTCAACTGAGTTCATTGATAAGAATATATAGTACAGTCTTGAAATTTAACCTTAATAAAATGTATTAATTTATGTACAGGCATTAACCACTGTATTGAAACAGGGATACTATCATGTCCACAGTTTGATCTCATAACTCTTGCCAGATCATATGCCTCAAAACACAGGCAAACGAAAAAAATCCAAACCTACTTATTCCAACTAGTCTTTCCCTTTGTACCAATAACAGGGTTTAAAGGAGACTTTCAGGCATCCCTTACTATGCAACTTAGCTCAGAAAGATGCTGTTGCCAACATAAGACAGGCTGAGAGCAGGACAGGCAATTCTAGTTTCTGCAGACACAAACTTCAGAGCAAACTGTGCTGAACGTCACTGTGATCATTTCAGTCCTGAAATCTAAGCATCAAGAGGAAGAGGAGAAAGGTTCTCTGCAAAATCTGAAATGGGTCAGAGGCATGCTCAGTGTGAGAGGCCACCCCTGAACTCCTACAAGCACTGCAAGAAGGCAATACACAGTCATCATGGAGACATATTGCTGTTTGGGTCTGTGCTTGCTTATGCCTGTAACAGACAGAATAAGCAGTATACTGAACATGATTTTGCATGTAAAAGAAATTCTACCCTTAGGGTAACCCCTGCTGATTTCAAGATGCATGGTTATAAATAATGGGGAATGTGACCTTTTATTTCCAACTCAAATATTGCCAAAAGAAATATTCATGGAAGATGCATTCACGTCCAGAATCACAGTGCCAATTCCTAACAGATTTCTTCATTATATCCTTTTTCCTTTTTTCTTTTTTTTCTTCAAAAGTTACTAATGATAATGGATGGTTGTGCTCATCCCTGTTATTAGTTGAAGCAAAGTCAGAGCAGTTTCAGCCTGGATTAATATGGATCATAAAAGCCTTTGCAAAGTAAATGTTGTTCAACAAAGTAATATACAATTTTCTTTCTTTCCTACATAGTTCTGCTATGTTATTCAGCAACTGCTTGCTCAATGCTAATAAAATATCTGCTTTAAAAAGGAATGTGTCAGAGTGATTGTTAGGAGCTTCCATTTGTTGTTTTATAAAAGGTAAAAATATAACATTGTTTCACATCTTCCAAAGGGTATTTCTGGTGCCAAGCAGCCATAGTGCATTATGATGAAGAGCTATATACGTGTAACCACCTTTGGCAGGAATCCGTGTGCAGAAAATTGTCCTTTGCAGCAGTGTAGCTACACACACAGACACACTGCCTGCGGAGTAAATTCAGACCAAGTGTCTTCATACCAGCCTGCAGGAACCTGAAGCAGCATGCTCTGGGGTTCCACATGCTGGGCACAGAATGGGGGGGCACATCTGGCACCTTGAATCATATGAAGAGAAAGAGATGCAGGGGGGGACTGATCTTCCAGACTGGTTTTTTAATACTTTCATTTCTTTTTTAAATGCAATGGACTACCTCCTATGCTCTCTCCCACTCCATGAGTTCAGGCATGAGGCACACTCACCTGGCAGTTCACTTTTAAGGATGATCATTCATCCCCTGCCATATCCAGCATGTAGGGTCTTGGAGAGGGAAAGAAAATGTGCAGAAGTTCCATGAAAAGTATGAGGAGGATCAGAAGGTAGCAGCCAATTAAATGAGTCACACACTCAATATGAGAAACCTCCCAGAACTTCCTTAATCTCCTACAGGTGAAACCTCAGAATGGTTTGGGTTGGAAGAGACCTTAAAGCTCACCTAGTCCCAAGCCGCAGCCATGGGCAGGGGCACCTTCCACTAGACCAGGTTGCCCCATCCAACCTGGCTTTGAACACTTCCAGGGATGGGGCATCCACAACACCCATTTTTCTTTTCCTCATGCCTCATATTGCAAATCTAGAGATTATTTACAAATACTTCATATATTGCCATGGGGTAGTATTCAAGTTTTAACAGAAAATACACTAGCATGATCTCTCTTGAGATGTTTTACAGTTATGGCAGTAACTCACTAGAGCCCTCTGTACTGCAAAATGAATCCAGTACTCTAAAAAGCTTTCCTACTTTTACTTTGGCTATATGAGAGGCATATGGTGTCTCAAGAAATAAGTAATGCATGGCAGCATTCAGAATCAGCTTTTCAAGTCCACCAGCAAGGTTTATTTGCATGAAGAACTGCATTTTAAAGGTTAGGTTACCTACCTGTTATCACAGAAAAGCTATCGTTCTGCTTTAAAAGAGACTGCTCGAGGCCATGACAAATTGCTTTCCCAAATGTTCTTACTATTAAAGGCTAAATTCACTGAACCAATAACTCTGTGTTAATTTGTAACATTTTCTCAAGTGCTGCCTTTGGAATAGAAAATGAAAATAAATTATCCTCCAGTGCTCAACAATGCCTTCCTTGCATGTAAATGTGCTCCAAAGACTTGAATACTGCTTAACGATGTTTCTGAGTGTTTTTGAGATCCACAAACTCTAAGACTTGAGGACCCTAAAAATCCACAAGGACCACAAGCCACTGACACCTCTGTTGTTTCCCAACTTTTAGATTTCAGTGGCTAATATAGCTCAAAATAAGAATGCATCTCAGAATGTTCATTTATTGTTCATAACATATGAAACGTGTGGATGGTGAATACCTCAGTCCAAGCTCTTTCCGTTTTTTAGAAGTCATCCAGGACATAAACTGCATGTTCTGTAAGTTATACACAAAGTTGATGACACCAGCACACAGCATGGAGACCCTTAAAGTAAATCAATTTGATTATCAGAGACACTTAAGATATAACTGCTTTTTTTTTTCCCATCTTTGGTCTTATGAAATCCTAGAGTCAGCAAAGACATCAGAGAGGACTGCAAGTGACCGCAAGTCTGCCCAACTGAGGAACTGACATTTTGGGTAGTAAAGAGGCATTTGAATGGAGGAAGGGCAAGAAAACAGGGCTAAATCAATAAATATAAATAGTAAAAAGCTTTTATCCTGAAGTATACTCACCCCTAATGAGAACTTCAACTTAATGCTAGCCACTCTGACTCCCTGTTCAATAGTACTTACCAGCTGGTGGCAATTCTGAGGACAGAATGGAGAAAGGTGGCACTGGCAGACAGGTGATACTCCATGTCTCTTTGAACAACCCCTCCAGACCTTCAGATCTTTTAGACTGAAAATAAGGAGCAATAGAATACATTTTAGTGATAGAGAGAAAGAAAAAGCAGTTTCAAATGTTTAAGGATGTGGAGTGAGGAACTGCTTGCTCAGGTAGGAAGTGAATACAATCCTTCCACATCCCACACACTGGGCTAAAGAATATTTTCTTTACCCTTAGTCTAATGAGCAGTGTTCATTCCTATGTGGGAGTAAAAAAGGAATTTTTCAGAAAAGGAAGAAAATTGTCTGAGCCCTTGGAGGCTGAGCAGCCTGGTGACGAGTGTCCTAGTGGAACAGAGAAGCTGTCCTCAAGGCCCAGCTTCAAATTAGTTAGGAAACAGCACTGAAAAGAGCAATTGCAACTCTCTGGTGACAGTCCTGCTCCTCTGATACACGGTAAGAGCTTTAAAACCCATGTCTGCTACTGACATCACTACCAGATCTGCCTTTTGTTCTCTTCATCCCCTCAGGTACTGAAGGATCTCTCACAGGGCAGCAGCCATGTACTACTTCAGGGCATGCCAGAAGCATTTCAGCCTTGACAGGACCAAGCATTTTTGCTTGTGTCTCACACTGAAGCCCAGGCAGGATCCACGGACCCACTGTTCTCTGCTAAGGGGCTTACTCCACTAGATATCAAGCTGTTTGGTGTAGATTTCAAAACAATGTCAGCTACTATTTTCTTCTGAAAAATGACTGGGGGAAGAGGAATAATTCTCTGGGTACTCTCAAATCTGTTTAAGTCTTTGCGCAGCTTGATTCCCTGACTTCCCCTGGGGCTTCAGACTTCATTCAGCTGGGACTGCAGCCCATGTCTCCCAGCAGTGGAGTACTGAAGTATCCTAATTGCCAGACTGGACTTACACTGATACGGAATTCATTCAGAATGAATGAATAAGAAAGAGGAATCACAAAAGGGAAGATTACCTTTCTACTGAGTGCTATCTAATGTCTATAATGTATATAACCAGGCCTTAAACTGAAGGCTGGAAATCCCTCCTCCAACACAAGCATTATGGCAGAAAACTCATGCCCTTGCCAGAAGCAGTGTAAGAGGAGAGGTGGAGGATATTTCCTTCTTTCAATACTCCCTTCCTAATTAGTCCCTAGCCCAACATTTGCACTGCTTGATCGTAAAGGGACTGTAAACTCCCTGAAGAAAAAGTGAATAAGGATTCTGCTTCTGAAAAAAAAAAAAAAAAAGTCCTTTACCGATGAATTTAATTGTATAACTGTAATAACATTGCTGGTTTACTAAAAAGACTTCTTTTGAAGATACTAGAGGTATTACTGTATTTGTGGGGGCTTTCAGGAGCACAAGCAAAATATTGTTATTAAAAGAACTCCTCAAGGTCCCTCAGTCTGTCTGGCACTGCACAAGACATGAAAACAAAAAACTGAAAAGCTTTCACTCTAATGGATAGTTTGGTACAGGGGCAGGGAAACACAGGCAGGATCCTGATGGTTTTGGAAGAAGGAGACAGCTATCAGCAATTCTCTGCAATAAAATTCTCTACTGGTGATGCCAACAACCTCGCATTTGTGCAGATTACCATGAGAAAGGTTTCGTGTTCTAATTAATGTACTGTCAGCTTCACACAGGTTGTGCCCACGTTTGATCAACAAAGATTTTGGATAGATGCTGCTTTCACATCAGTACTATTTTATAGAAGAAAGTTAATTCCTGGTTGTCCCCACACAAATTAGATTTAAAAAATAATAATAATTCCTTGTAATTCAGTATGTAACAAATGAGAATTTGTTACCTATTGTTACATACTGAATTACATTTCTGTTATGAAATAGCACAATGAATTAGATTGCATTATGCCACTGCAGACTTGTCAGCATTCAGAGGGAATGAAGAATTGCTGGGCTTACAACCAGCTGTTTCTAGACTTACATGGATCCTGTGGTTCTGAACTCCTTTCAGACCGTTCAATGCATCCCTTGATCATGATTTCTCTGCAAAGACTGCTTATTGGCAGATGGCTTCTGTCTGTAAGATAAGCAGCTCAGGTAAGGATCATCACAACTCCCATCAATTTCTTGAGGATCTGGGCCCTGAGATCTCCAACATAAAAAGCAAATCCCAGTCAGCATTAACGAGAAAAATAAAACTGGAAAGCAAAATTTTTACTGCCTGAAGTATTAGACACTTCATCTGATTTGGAACCTGCCTTCCCTGAAATAATTGTCACTATACCCAGATCTCATGGCTGGAATCTAAATAACTTGGATATAAGCAATCCTGTCACTTCGCATCCATCAGTGCTCCACACTTACTGAGGTCTGAAAAATCTGCAATTAAAATTGTTAGCATTTTAAAACTAATTTAAAGAAAGTGTGCAAAATATCCACAAACGGACAGCTACTCTATATGCTATGACAGCCAATATTTTCATGCCATAAGTAGGTCTAGGAAGAACAGGCTCAACATTTTCAATCTTGATAGCAGGGGAAGGAGACGAAAAAAGTTGTTATCATTTTCCTCAGACTGTATTGGCAATGTGATTGACTTAAATTTCACCCATTATTTTGATACATTGAGACAATCAGAAAACTTTAATGGTTGGGTCTAAATGAAGACAATAAGCTGCTTTAAACAAATGAATATTTCAATGGAGGTTCTGAAACCAATCAATGTTGAATCAATAACTTAGAGATTAAAATAACTTCACTGGTGTATCATCCAAATGAACATAAATACAGAAGTACAACAGAAAATAAGAATGATTAATAAGAAGTTGATTTTTTTATGGTAAGGTAGTGCTCAAAAAGTCTTTGAAACCAATAGCAGTATCACCCACGGTTCACCAGGCTTCAATCTATTCAATCACATTTTTAACAGATACCTTGTATTATACTAAAGTATTTTAATTTGCCTGTAGCATGATTTTCAAGATAAGAAGGAACCCTTGAGCCTTATATGTAGCCACAAACCCTCATATTAAACATCACTATGTACCCTTAGAAGAAAAGTGTGATTTACAGCAGCTTTAATACACAAGCCCATTTGCTGAAAACTATTCCATAAACTGCATGTCTGGATGACAATAAATCCACAATCTCTGTTATTTGCTGAACTAGCCCTGTTCAGTTTCAGTCTCTAAATATAGGGTACTCTAAATTATGGTGGAAATGTAGTGAGAAACTTCGCCGGAGGAGGTTAAAATCAGTGTCTAACCGAGAGAAGGCAGTTCTTAGGCTTTCAGCTGCAGCTTTGCTTCTTTCTGACCTGGTCATGCTTTCCCATTTGCAGCAGCTCTCCCGCAGATCTCGTGGTCAAGACAAGCCGGGTACCCGACAACTAATTTTAGATAACCCCTTGTATAATTTGATAGACTTCTCATAAAAGCCCACCTTATTGCGGAGGTTCAGCGGGTTTTGATCACTTAATTAAGTGGAGGGTTATTTTCCGGAGCTAACACAACGCCTTTTAACTTTATCCGCCCTTCATGAGCCCCCTGAGGTCCCATCTCCGCTTACTGGGAGTTTTGATGCCTTTAACGGCGACCGCATCCTCTGCTGCGCCCTCCCGAAAACCCGGCATCCCCGGCGGCGGCACTGGGCTGCCTGCCCCCAGCCGGGGCTCCGGGGACCTGACGGGCGGGCTCGGGGCCGCTTTGCACCGGCGGAGCTGAGCCCACCCTGATCGGCTGGAGGGGGAAGGGGGAGCTCTGCCCTCTCTTGGCGGGGGCAGTAGCGCGCTGAGGAGCGCAGAGGGGCGGGCACTGCCCCGCCCGGGGCCGCTGCCCCCCGGGGGGCGAGGGGCGGAGCGGGGGCAGGCGGTGCTCTCCTCCCCCGGGGTACCTCCGGCTCCGACCCGCAGCCGCGGAAGCCCCCGGGAGCGCGTCGGGAGTCCGGCGCTGCGCGGCGCAGGGGTCCGCGAGGGCGGAGGCAGGAGGTGGATAAAAACCCTTGCGCTGCTGTCACCGGGAGTCTCCTGCCTTCCCTCCTCACCTGCCGCCGGTACCGGGCTCTGGGCCTCCGCTCCATCCCTGGGGGCAGCGGGCCAGCTCTGCCTGCGCCCGCGGGGGAGGGCAGCAAAGCCGCCGCCGCCGCGCTCTCGGCAGCCCCCAACTTCTCCCGGAGGCAGCGGAGCATGCGGGCCCGGGGCTGGCGGCGGCGGCGGGGACGGCACCGCGCTGCCCGGACATGAAGCGGCCGCCTGGAACTCCAGGTAACGCTGTCCGGGGGGGGTGGAGGAGCAGGCATCCCTCCAGCAGCCGGGGCACGGCGGGCGGGCAGAGTCCGGAAGAGCGGGAGGCGACCGCAGCCCGGCAGCGGGCGGTGGAGACCCAGCTCCTGCCTCCTCTGCGGAACGGAGCGGCTGTGGTCGAGCCTTCCCTGGGAAGGCGGCCAGGGACCCCTCGGGGGTAGGTGGGTGAGGCGAGGGTACGGCGCGGTGCTTGTGGATGCCCCGGTGCGGAGCTGGCTCAGCCCGCCCGGCCGTCCAGCTCGACGAAACTTTGCCATTCGCCGACCTCCGGTAGGGATCGGGGGGCTGCAGCAGGCAGCTCCCATCGGGAGGCTGGCAGGAGCCCTCTTCTCCCCCCTTCATAGGCAAGGGGGTTTCTCTGAAGTTTAGCCTGTCAGAGAAGCTTTCGGAGGCGGTGAGGATCCTACGCTGGGCAAGTAAACTTTCGTAAGATCTGGCATTGCTTGGAGACTGGTTACTGGTACTGTAACAGGCACTGCCACTTACCATTGCATTTTTTCTTAATTATTTGCTGATCTCCTTAGCAACTGAAGTAATTTGCAAGGTTTAAACTAGGGTGCAGCGTGATTTACAAAGGCACATGGCAAAAAAAAAGGATGCATTTGTTGTTTTACTGGTGCCTGTAACGCTTGTACTCCCTGAAGAGAGATAAGAGCTGCAGAGTGTTGACTTCATGTAGCTGGTACTGCCGTAAACAAACTGCTGATGATTAGTCCAACTCGGGCTCCGTGGTACATCACTCAGTTGCTCATCTGTGTCTCAGTTTTCTTCAAGTCAAGTGAGTTATCTGTCTTTGTGGAAATTCAATCTTTAGTGAGGGATGAGTGGGAGAAAATAGTTTTAACTGACTAAAGTTGCTAGGACAAATTAATCTCTAATTGAGCACTATTGAGGTCTGGGCAGGTGCTGGCCAGAGACCCCTCCATTTGCCAGACTGACCTCAGGATCAGCTTGCTGCAAAGGTAACCTAAAGTCTTTATTTTTTTCATCACTGTTAGGTCCTGCAGCAAGCACGATTTAGCCCGTTTCAGGGATTTAGTCCAGTGTATCGAGACATCACCCAGATGTAGCTCACCAACAGCCTCTGGTGTCCAATCTGTCATGTTGCTAAATCTTGTGGATTACGGTGGTTGGGGTTAATCCAGATATGATAAGTCAGAAATGCTAAGCACAGTTGTTAGGCAGATTTAATGCAGAGAGTGTCTTTCCCACCCAGAAATGATAAAAGCAAAGTAGAGCCTGGAGTGAGGTGGCCACTACAGGGTCATTTCCTTTGACAGCATCCCACACACAAACACACACAAAGGAGATGGAAGTTTACGCAGGCCTTCGTTACAAATGTAGCTTTTGAAAGATTAATTATATGGGATACCACTAGTCTGTAATTAATGGCTATGTTTTGTACTTAATCAGGACTCCTAAAGTTAGGATTAAAAGCATGAATAATTGCACTTGTATATTATTGTTGTTAGAAGTTAATAAAACCCCATTCTAAGTGTCACTATTTCTTCTGCGCTCCTAAGGAAAGCCTTGTCAAATGCCATGGGGAAAAACCAAAAAGTGCTGTGAGGAAATACTGTTAACACCTGAGCCATCACTGGTTGATTGCATGTACCATTATATTTAACTAATATGGCCTGATTCATCTCATATGTAGACTGGTAAGAAGAGGAGAGCAGCTGTGTGGTCACTGAATGTCAATGGAAAGGTGCAAAGGTCTGTGATTTGTGGGCTGGCCAGGTACAGAGACATTCAGAATCAGAACAGACACTCACAAGAGACGTGACACAAGGAAAAGAAATAGGAGATGTAGAAATGGTGTGGACCTTCTGGAGGGTAGACTGAAATCTTTAATGTTCGTAGTGTTTGAGCTCTCTAGAGGCTCAACAGTTCCTGCAGTAGTACATCAGGGTTGTGTGCAAATACTTGCATTTTCACTGTGCAGAAAGTGAGAGCCAAATGTGGGACTATTTATATCACCAGTGTACAGGAAGATGTTATTCCTACTGTAGAGCGTTAATCAATCCGGTTTGTTTAACATTAGAAAAACTAACCATTTGTTAAGTATTTACACACAGGTTGCAACCAACCAACAAAACAAACAAAAAAAAAAAAAACCCAACCAAGCAAGAAAAAAACTACAACAAACACACACATTGAAAACATCAAAACCAAGAGCCAAGTCCTCAACTTGTCTAGGAGTTGATCTGTCGTAGTCAATTGAGCTGTTTCTGACAACAGAAGATATTTCTTATGATATGAGGATATACCCTGCATTTCTTCTCTTAACAGTTAAGCATGTACACCCTTACTGCATGGATGATTCATCTCAGGGTGTACTGTGTTTTTGGCAGTGAACTTAAAATATCACACTTCAACACCACAAAGAAATGACTTCTTTAAAAAGAGTTCAAGTACAAAACTCCCAGCTGTGCACTTTACTATAAATCAAAAAAGCTATTTACCCAGCCCATTCAGAAATAATGGTGAAGTACTTAGCCAGAGTCTGTTGGCACATGTTAGCTCATAGTATTTAATAGCAATATCTCTCTTGAGAAATAATATAATACTGAAATTTGTAGAGTAGTAATTTTCTAAGACCTGAAGTAAGGGTACTGGGATGAAATGAAATGCCACTTTTTAATATAAGGCTGACTGTAGGCTTTGTTCTTCCTTGCCACTTAACGTGCACATTACGAACTCAGAAATGTTTATGCAGTCATTCTGAATAAGTTCAAATGATCACATAGGTCATAAATATTTATGGTGAACATGCTTGGCTTTATAGGCCATCCTGTGTAATCTATGAAGGAGGTATGGGGAACAGAGTTGAGGAGCAAATTGCAACTCGACGCTCCTACCCTCCAAAAGGGCGAAGAACCTGTTGGGAATGTAGGCACTGCACTGTGAGGTGGGCATGGCAAGGAAGGTTTCTGTTCGTCAGGGTACTCTCCAGATAGTCTTGTTTGTCCTGTGGTATGTTTATGGTGTCTATAATTTGGATTGCCTCACCAGGCAAGTTAAGTTATCTGAAACAGTTTTCATTTGGCAACCTCAGTGGGCTTTGGAAATGGACAACCCAGTTTTCAGCCCTTGCAAACTGTTTTTGCCCCTTAGAACTCAAAGGTATTATTCTGATTTACACCAGCCACTGATTTGCCCTTGGGATTTGGTTGCAGACTAGCTCAAAGTTTGTAATGAGATAGCTGTAGGTATGGATAGAAGCAAATATGCAAGGCTGTTTAGTGTATTAAACTTGGTAACCCTTCCAGAACAGCATTGATCTAGTATGTCCCATTTGGACTGTCTCCAGGATCACAGTTGTATTCAACATAGGAACTGATTTTAAAAGTGCCATTTCAAAACTGCAAGTGCAGTTACATTAAAAATTAGACTGCATAAGTTGCAGGATCAGGCATTTAAATATTAGTGGGAAAGGCAACCTAGGCAACCTGTGCAACAGCAGTTTGTCTCCTATTTTGTGGGTGCTTTATAATTCAGTCTTCACGCACATGGTTTTATGGTGTAAGGTTTTATGGTACCTTGCTTCATGCAATATACTAACTGAATGAGCAGTTATTCTTTTTTTCATCTGGCAGTGTGTTTCCGCTGTGCGTTATGTACTGCATGCCATACAAATCCACACTGAGGTACAGAATTATTTCCTGATGGTCATTTCTGTAATGCTTCATAGGTCTTACCCTCTAGAAGAATTTGTATCTACTACTTGTTGCCATAGATTAGCTAGCTAGCAAAAGCAACTGAGTTAGGTGCTTAGGACTGGTTAAAAACACCCATTCTTCTGGGTTCCTAACTTCCCACTGAAAACTCCACGCAGATATATACTTCAGCAGGATCTAAAAGCCTAGAAGACTATGAATCTTGATGCTAAGCTTTCATTTGAAAAAATTCATTTATCTTTACAATATTTCTATAGCTAAGGTCATGTTGCTCTATCCCTTTACATAGGCAGGGAAGTAAGGAGAAGCCCTTAAAGTCAGTACCAGCTAGAGTCATAGCATTTTTTAATCATCTCAGAGCTTCTTCTGATCAGTCCTTCCCAAGCTTAATACACAGAGGTTCCTTATTTTCTAAGTGTCAAGCTGTCATATGTTTATTATTTTCTTGACAGTTACCAGTTCTCATAAGTTGCCTGATCTCATGAGAATGCTGAGGCAGAGGCTTGGGTATGCTCCAGTTCTTAGATACAGGCATTTCCTAAGCTGCTGATGTAATCACATGTTCTTTTCCCTGTTCTCCCTCAGAACCTGTGCACAGTGTGAGGAAAGGTTTTGGGGGGAAAACAAACGAAGCAATTGTGTAAGTAAGGACTGTATAGAAAATCTAAAACAACACAGAAAACATTAATTCTAGCGCTTGAATTTTTGAGCACTTCACTTTGCAGTCTTGCCATTCTCTTAATGTGAATGCAAACATTTAAAATCAATGTGTATATAAATTCTTGTGAAAGGTGAGTTCTCGTATCCTGCTGCCTTCATATTTCTTCTTTTAGTGGGTCGTTAGAGGGTTCAGCTCTTCAGATTCATAGCACATCCTCTACCACTTGACTTAAGAGTGGATTTGTCAACAGACAACAGCAGCTTGCCAGATTGGCAGAGGGTTAGAGGAGTGGAATTTGGAACTGAAGGAGAGTGGAAATTAGTGCATTTCACATATATTAATTAATTGCATATATAATCTTAGATTCATAAGTAGCAGATGCAAATTCTCCAGAGGAGCGTGTTCTAAGGTTCACCTCCTGAAACTCTTGCATCTTCTGTTTAACCCTCTACTTGCCCTTAACACCATTCTACTTGCCCTTAACACCATCCCCATGTGCTTTTCCAGTCTCATATGCCTTAACTGACTTCTGCATGCTCAAACTACCGCCTCCTCAGCTGCTTCACTAGTAACGATGGTGATGCTCCATTAGCATCCTCCTCTCCTGGCTTTGCCTTTCCTTCCCTGTGCATCTCTTATGCTCCTTTTTCACAGTATCACAGTATGTTAGAGATTGGAAGGGACCTCAAAAGATCATCTAGTCCAATCCCCCTGCCGGAGCAGGAACACCTAGATAAGGTTACACAGGAACGTGTCCAGGAGGGCTTTGAATGTCTCCAGAGAAGGAGATTCCACAACCTCCCTGGGCAGCCTGTTCCAGTGTTCCGTCACCCTCACTGAGAAGAAGTTTCTTCTCAAGTTTAAGTGGAACCTCTTGTGTTCCAGTTTGTACCCATTACCCCTTGTCCTATCATTGTTTGCCACTGAGAAGAGCCTGGCTCCATCCTCGTGACACTCCCCCTTTATATATTTATATACACTAATAAGGTCACCCCTCAATCTCCTCCAAACTATAGAGACCCAGCTCCCTCAGTCTTTCCTCATAAGGGAGATGCTCCACTCCCTTAATCATCTTAGTTGCCCTGCGCTGGACTCTCTCCAGCAGGTCCCTGTCCTTCTTAAACTGAGGGGCCCAGAACTGGACACAATATTCCAGATGAGGTCTCACCAGGGCAGAGTAGAGGGGAAGGAGGACCTCTCTCGACCTACTAACCACCCCCCTTCTAATACACCCCAGGATGCCATTGGCCTTCTTGGCCACAAGGGCACAGTGTCGGCTCATGGTCATCCTGTCGTCCACTAGGACCCCCAGGTCCCTCTCCCCTACACTGCTCTCTAACAGGTCGTTCCCCAACCTATACTGGAACCTGGGGTTGTTCCTGCCCAGATGCAGGACTCTACACTTTCCCTTGTTATATTTCATCAAGTTATTCCCCGCCCAACTCTCCAGCCTGTCCAGGTCTCGCTGGATGGCAGCACAGCCTTCTGGCGTGTCGGCCACTCCTCCCAGCTTAGTGTCATCAGCAAACTTGCTGATAGTACACTCAATTCCCTCATCTAAATCATTGATGAATATATTAAATAATACTGGTCCCAGTACTGACCCTTGAGGCACTCCACTAGATACAGGCCTCCAACTAGACTCCGCCCCATAGACTACAACTCTCTGGCTTCTCTCCTTCAGCCAGTTCACAGTCCACCTCACTACCTGATCACCCAGACCACACTTCCTCAATTTAGCTGCGAGGATGCTGTGGGAGACTGTGTCAAATGCTTTGCTGAAGTCAAGGTAGACCACATCCACTGCTCTGCCATCATCCATCCACTGTGTTATTTCCTCATAAAAGGCTATGAGATTGGTCAAGCATGACTTCTCCTTGGTGAAGCCATGTTGACTGCCCCTCATAACCCTCTTATCATTGATATGCCTTAAGATGGCACCAAGGATATTTTTCCTCTCTCCCCTTCTTTGACTTCTTTTCTGTCCTGTTGTCCTCCACCCTCTAGGTCTTGATTTTAATGTTTTCATATTCTAGACTCATCCTTTCTTCATCCATCTTGTTTCATCAGAGACTACAACTCCTCCTTTTATTCTGCTTCTTTCCCCATGAGGTTGCTTCTTTTTCCTCCTTGATGCTGCCCACAGGCACTCTCCCAGCTTCTGGCCATAGCCACTCTGAGCAGTGCAGAGCAGTCATTGTGAGGTTGATTCTGTCCGATACTCTACCAACAGTTGGGTGAGACTGGAGAAATAAGTCTGAGGTCAGTATGTGGGAGCTGAATATCGCATTCGAGCTGTGAAGGGCTGGGGATAATCAGTGCAGATGGATTCACCTGGGAATTTATTGACAAACTGTTAACAGGTATCCAGGGACAGCAAGAGTGAACAGAGATATTCATTACACTGATAAGTATGTGTACATTTTCTTCGCAGATGGCAAAAAGCATATCCTTTGGCACAGAATCGCTACCCTGCCAAATGTTATGTCCCTGCTTCAAACCATAGTGACACTAAAACGTCAATAGAAAATAACATGTTTGGGTTTGGTCTTACTATTTAAGTATGAGCAAAATATTTTTTTTTCCTTTACTAAGTTTTGAGAAATGGCTGACTCATTCTTACTGAAAGTTCCCAAAACTTGTGCCTGAGGCAGGCACCAGGCATAGATTTCCTCCTCAACAGTTATGTTGGCAAAGGTAGAGGTAGCAGAATACAAAATATTCCAATTGGACATCTTGAATAACTTTAAAAATAGACTGCTGCTACCTGAACTATCAGTTACTGCATGGAAAAAAAGAAAAAAATAAAAGGGAATTTGTTTGACATTTAAAGCTAAGCAGTCTGAGAAAATTCTTTGCTGTGTGACATTTTCTGATTGGGAAGAAACACATGTTGCAACTGCTCCCCCCTAGACAAGAACACAGCATTTTTGGATGAGGCTTTTTCTGTCCTGCACCAGGAATTTTCTATCTGTGTTGGTTTGGAAACAGGTAGGGGATGCTATTGCCCAGTTATGTTACACAGAAGAGCATTTCTGATTAATTTTTTTAATGAACGATCAGAAATTGCATTTCTTGGCCCAAGACTGAAGAATAATTGCATTGATTTTGAAGAGAAAAAAAAATACCATATCTGTAGTGTGAATATTTACACAAGCGCAGTATTTCGTGTTTGCTTAAAAAACAATGTTAAGTTTACATCACCTACAAACAACTAGATTTTACAATTAACCATCTGGAACCTTAAGGATTGATTGCCTGTATTTTCCAAAAGGCATGCATAAGAAATCAGGAAGGGTATGAATTGTAAATGTTAACATGCTGTACCTCTGTATCCCTCTTTTGACAGCAATTAGCACGAAGCTAACTGCACATACAGTCTGTGGCAAGAAGCACTGGGAGACAGCTAAGAGGCAATGACAATGTCTTTAACCTGGTGGACAACTCCTACTCAACTTGGGGTTTTTAAAGTGAACTGCAGAGGACTGGCATGCCTCTTGGTCTTCACAATGAGCGTTTGTGGCAGTGCCCCGGGGATGTGCCCAGCAGCCTGCATCTGTGCCAGTGATATCATAAGCTGCACCAATAAGAACCTCACTCGAGTGCCAGGAAATCTTTATAAATGTATGAAAAGGCTGGATCTGAGTTACAACAGAATTGGGTTTTTGGAGCCTGAATGGGTCCCAGCACTGTTTGAGAAACTGAACACTTTAATAATCAATCATAATAGCATTAGCAGCATTATCACTGGAAGCTTTTCCACAACCCCAAATCTGAAGTACCTAGACTTGTCGTCCAACAGCCTGAAGACGCTGAGCAGCCCTGTGTTTCAGGAGCTAAGGGTGCTGGAGGTTCTCCTGCTGTACAACAATCAGATTACACAAATAGAGCCCCCAGCCTTTGGAGGATTGTACAAATTACAGAAACTGTACTTAAGCTATAACTTGCTCTCGCATTTCCCATTGGACTTGTACACTGGAAAACATAAGCTGATAGACCTTGTGTTGCTGGACATTTCCTTTAATCACATCCAGTTGATGCCTGTTCAGCGCCTGAGTTCAGTGCCAGCGAAACATCTTAGTGGAATTTATCTTCATGGCAACCCATTTTATTGTGACTGTATGCTGTACTCCATGCTAATCTTCTGGTATCAGAGGCACTTCAGCTCGGTGATGGACTTCAAAAATGAGTACACCTGTTTGTTGCAATCAGACCCAAAAGGTTACAATAAACTGCCTTTACTGCACGATAACTTCCTGAATTGCTCTGAAAGCACCGTCAACAGCTCTTTCCAAGCCTTTGGGCTTATTCATGATGCCCAGGTTGGTGACAGGCTGATTGTACACTGTGACAGCAGAATCAGTGATGCGGGCACACACTTTGTTTGGGTTAGTCCCGACAATAGACTGCTGGAGCCAGACAGGGAGACCAACAACTTTAAGGTGTTCCGTAACGGTAGCCTGGAGATAACTGATGCCCAGCTAGAGGACTCAGGGCTGTATTCCTGCATCGCAATAAATAAGAAAAGACTATTAAATGAGACCATAGAGGTTAGAATAAATGTTAGCAATTTCACAGTGAACAAGTCCCATGCTCATGAAGCATTTAATACAGCTTTTACCACTCTTGCTGCCTGTGTAGCCAGTATTGTTTTAGTACTGCTGTATCTCTATCTGACCCCATGTCCATGTCAATGTAAGGCAAAAGGGAGGAAGAGGAAGCTGAACCAAAGCAGTGCCCACTCATCCATACTGAATTCCACACTGCCACAAGAGCTGCCAGCTGATGAAAAGAAGGCTAGTACTGGTAAACGGGTGGTTTTCCTGGAACCCGTGCATGAACCAAAACACAGTCAGAATGGGAAAGTAAAACTGTTTCCTAATGACAATATTATTGCTGAGAGTATCTTAAAAACTACACGAACAAAATCTGACTCAGATTCTGTCAACTCTATGTTCTCAGATACGCCTTTCATGCCATCAGCTTAGTTTGCTGCCTGTGTTTGTATTGTGCAGTTACATTTCTGAATACCTCCTTTGCTTGTAGCAACTGTCAGGAAAAAAATAAAAAGAAAGAAAATGTTTTAAAGTAAGTATCTATTGTCAGTCCTTGAATTGTGTCTTCTCTCTGAGCGCAGGGACATGCAGCATTGATATTTTCTTTGGGAAAAGCGAACAGTATGGCATTAATGTAAATGTCTTCCATTCAAGCTTAGCCTTGGCTTTTATTCTCTGGTTCGTACATAGCAATTCTCTTGCACATTTAGAGGTACTCACAGTGCTTACAGCTGGCTCTTCAGAGGCAAAGGCTGACCCCTATAAAACACTCTCAGCAGTGCTGAGAACTCAGCTCCTCTGCAGTAAGCAGGGAAGCAAGCTTACATGGCAACTGATAAAAATGTCCAGGCTTCCTGCAATTCTTTCCCCAGGCACATAAAGATTTAACAGTAAAGATTTTACTGTAAAATTACTAGGCAAAAAAAGTCATGAATTTTCTTGGACTGATCTGAACAAAAAGATTAGATTTGTCACTGTGATGCCTAGCAGCACTGCATAAATGTTTATGGCCTTCAACTGATAATGTGTTTGCCAATTGTTGGTTGTCTTTACCTCTGCTGCTTGCTGTACACCTGGCATCGTGTGCGGTGAACAAACCTGCCACAATCACCAGGGCTCCTGCTTCATCTTAGGGGTGGGTGGCTTTATCTTCAGAAATAGCTTCCCAAGACAGAGAAAATACTGCAATTAATTCTTTCAGTAGCACATGGTTCCAGCAGTCACATAAAGCTTGCTTCATAAAGTGTTTTCTTAAATCAGGTAATACGGTATTTGGGGAAACTTATAAGAAATATGGAAGACTTTCCACGCTGAATTCAGAAAGTGCAGTTTTTCTCTATATTTGACCCTTGTCTTGCAAGTACTGCTTCCTCTTCCAGAGGTATCATTGCCAAAGCTTATGAACCTGGTAAGACTGGCCTGGACTGCTCATGCAATAATATTTTAGTGAGCATACTGTTCTATTTGCTATTTCTTTTTCAGTTATGTTTTCCTTTTTATTATTTTAAGCTAACTTACACTGAGACTGGTCTGGACTTTGCCAAACTTCCTCACATTGATTGGTACCAACTTCAAAGGATTTTTGCAAGGAATTACAGCTTATCAAGGAGGAGTAATTGGAGCATGTCTGTCTCATTCTGTCTTTGGGAAATATACTGAAAGGGTAACAAATAACATCAGAATCAAAGGGCTGCACGGTATGGTAACTGTTACTCATTTTTAAGAGGTTTACTACAACAGCCACTTGCCATTTTTTGTGATTTCTTTTGAGAGGGGTGTCATCATGCTAAAGCTTATATCTGGCTGAGCCAAAGCTATCAGCAATTGATTTGCTCTGGAGGAATCCTGATGTAGCTAATTGTTTGAAAGCAAGTTATCTGGAAAACAGATCAGGAAAGAGTGTTTCTGTGATATGCACAAAGTATATGGAATTAGAAAACCGATGGAGATTTTGATTTAGATATTCAGGGAAAGAGAAGATGGAAGTTCTTTTTCTAGGCAGGGGATAATAAATACTTAGAAGAGAAGAATGACCAGGGGTTTGGGTCTTTTCTTAGTAAATTTATCTTTGTAAATTTAAAACTGGCTTCTGCTATCAAGCAAGTTAGTGTCCTTTTGTAAAACTTTTTACCTGTTTTGCATTAAGCCAAAACCCATATGTTTCTGCATAAGGTATGATGGAAAAACAGTAATTGTCTTTGCTAAAATCAGTGACATAGTTGGGTTATCTGATAAGGAGGCAAAGGCTTGACACCACTTCCTTATCAAAGTGCTTTTTTGCACTGAAAAGATTCAACTAAGCTGCATGATGTGCTGCTGTGCCCCGCGTGTGGTGGGTGGGCGGGCATCCTTTGCGTTGTGCTAGGAGACACTCAGTGACCTGGGACCAAAGGCCTGAAAAAGGTGGTGAGGCTGAGTGGGAAATGGTGAGGCAAATACTCCTGTGGAAAGCTATACAGATCAGTTACAGCTCTGGGCAGATGTTACATTCTCTTGTCATGCATGAGGTTAATTGACCCAGATTTCGGTGTTTACACAAGAGCACTGATGGTCAGTTCCAAATGGGGCTGAAAAAGAAAGGCTGTTGCTGGTGCAGCCAGGAGGCAGATGTACACATCTCCTTAGCAGCTACAGCTGAGCAGGTTTATCCTCCTGTTGTTGACAATGCAAGGTGGAGACACCACATATCAAATTCACTGCATTCATCCTGCAGCCATCCTTCTGCAAGGCTGCTTTGTGCAGCAAGAGTGTGGGGATTTGTGGGATCAGGGTAATCCTGCCAGATGACTAGAGAAGCTGAGTGTTGATCTAAACAGCAGATACTTACTGTGACTATTAACTGGCTGCATCTTACTGACTGCTTCTAAGTGGTCACAGTTGTAACTGTGATTATGACCAAGGTGGTAAAACCAAAGCATTTGAAAGAGCCTTTGGCTTGTTTGCTGCTTCTTTACATTACCATAGCCTCATAAATTCAGTCGGTGCAACTTTAATAAAGATTTTTAAAGTCTTTACTGAATATTTATCATATAGCACTAACACCATAAACCTACAAACACAGTCATCTCCTTGGAAGGCTGTGGAAAGCCAATGCAGTGTAGCTGTTCCTCCCTTCCCACCACAATGCAAGTCCCCTGAGGCGATGCTGTCCAGCTTCACAGCAACATGGGTGGTTGCACAGGCAGGAGGGGCTGCCCAGAGGCAACAGCAGCAACTCCAGTGTGGTCCACCCTCTGAGCAAGTCTTGGTTGGCAGGCCTGTCCTACCCCCATGTCGCCCCCATTAGTCTCTGTCCTGGATTTCCCATTGCTGTTTCCAACCACTACTAAAGCTCTGACTGAAACAGAGGGAGTTCAGTTCTGCAAGGCATTGAGTGCTCTGGCACCAGCCCAGCCTTGCCCTTAAAATGGGTTTGCAGGAAAGCAGAAGTACCTACCCACCGGCAAGAAGTCTCTGGCTGGGGTCAATCACTGCCTTTGCAAGATGCCAGGAATACGATATTCCCCATACAGCTCAGGTAACCCTGGATGAGTTTTGCTCTCCCTTGTCTTCTTTCCAGTTCCTGAGACTGTGCTACACAAGGTCACATAAGGGCTCTAAGCTGTAGTTGAATTCTGTGTCTTTTTGTCAGGCTCACCTACCCACCACTTTAATGGCAGTGAGCATCTTTTCTCTCATTCAAGGGCCTATTGCATCAGTTCTAGCTGTTTCACAGATCAAAAATAAGGGTAGTGGCACAGACACCTCTGGGAGGTAATGTCTTTGTCTCTGTGTATTTCCAGTGCTGCACATGCCTGCAAAGCGTGAGCTTTTGTAGACTGCATTGGCAACTGGTTGTGTGAGGCCAGTATGAAACTTCCCAGTTCAGTCCTGAGTGTAGCAACAGTAGCTGCACAACTGCATTGTCCCCATCTTAAACACTTGTAGTAGCTGGTGAGAGGGAAGCATGCTGGTCATCTCTCTTGACCTTACTAAGGCTAAATGTCTGACTGTGACCACCTCACTAGTAACAAGAATATACAGTGGCTGACTAACCCTTAAATATGCTGAGCAGCTGCCAACCAAACTGGAACCTGAGGGTATCAGGGAGAGTTTTCCTGTTACCAGCCCTTAATCTGCAGTTGGTTATGACAGGCAGTGCCATGTCCTTTTAGCCCAGATGCTTGTTTGTCAGATAGTCCTCTAAGTCATTAATGTACCTATCTCCTTAGCATTGCTTCTTCAAAAAGTCAGATTTCTGAGGACTGCTGATGACAGTGTCAAAGGGCTAATGGATTATATAGCTTATTCTTCTGAACAAGAAAACCCCTACAGTCAAGTTTTAATTAAACCACAAACTTTCGTGTAGGATAGCACAAGATTATTTCTTCCTACTAGAGCAAATCAGCCTCTTTCAGAGGGCTTTTGTATCTTGATTGTAGTATATTCCTAATAACCTCTGTGTTTCTGAACTGGGTGAGAGTAAACCGGGCTTAATGGGCCAAAGCATGCTGTTGTTGTCACCTTTAAAGTAATGCAGAAGTGACAGCTTCCAGCCATCAGCTGCAGACTACATCCACCAGCCATCCCACCCAGTAAACACTTCTGCTCTCTTCATAGAGGCTGAGCCATCACCATTTGGCAGTGGCAGGTGCAGGGATCATTTCCAGTCTCTTCCTTCATAGCTCTGTTTCAAGACTGGCTTCCTGAAGATGGTTTCTGGATGTACTGTAAAGTTACTGGAAAGGATACTTTTAATTGATTAATTAAAACAGCTGCTTCCAAATGGCTTCTAAATGATGCGAACTGGCATTGGTGGTAAGTAGTAGCTTTTGAGAAGACAGGTTGCATGTTTCATTTATAGATTGAGCAATTTAGATTCTACTTTTTTTTTTGCTCTTTATGGTACATGTTACTTGAATCATTGTATGTATACAAAGGGCGCGTATTTAATGATTTCTTTCTTATGTTTGTTTTATGTTTTTCCATTTGTTCAATAGGTCTCAGACGTAGGTAAGAGTGGAAATTTGAGGTTGGTGGGGTAAGGGCAAGAAAACATTTTGGTCAAAATGTGCTTGATATTTTAAAAGAACGCTAATATCTGAGCTCTTGCCTTTAGTGAGCACATGATACAAATAATTTAAAAAACACAGTTATTAACTAACTACAGATTTCATGGGTATTTTGGAAGGTTTGGGTGTTAACAGAGCTCTGACAATAATACAGGCATGAAAGTGATCGGTACAAAAGCAGAAGAGTATTAGTACTTGTTTTTTGAAGAAGAGATATCCCAAACTTCCTGAAGAGGTCATGTCATAAGTAAAACAACCATACCTCTCTTCCGTATTTAATAGAAAGCTCTAATTTTAATATTAAGGAACTGAACAGATGCAGTGGAGAAACTATTTTTCCTGTGAATTACTGGTTTATGTTCTGCTTATGTTAGGTAGATATTTTTCCATATGTAAATCTGTTTTGTTTTCCTTTGCAGAATAACTTAAATAATATCTTCTCATTTACTTTTCCTAATGAAGTCTGCATTTGGTAGGGGAGGGGA